GGGGGGGGGGGGGGCGGGCGGGGGCCCCCCCACGGCCCCCCACCGCCTCCTCCACCGTATCTTCTGCAGGGAAGCCCCATGGCGCCTTAAGGAGGCAGCTAACGAGGGCGGGGGCAGCAGCCAGGGCCCCCAAGCCATTGGCCAAGCTGCTCCAACAAACCACCTTCCCATTGGCCAATGGGCCGGCTAACCGACTCCTGGGGTGGCTGACCCCCAACCAAGCGATCGCTTGGCCAGCTTTGACCTGATCCAACCAACGAGTCAGCCGACCAACCAGTGAACCAACCAGCCAACCAGCCTGGCCTTCAACTCACCAGCCAATCACAGGACAACTCAAATGTCTCCTCAGTCAACAAGCCAACAGGCAACCAGCCACCCCTTGGACTGGTTAACCTTCAGCGAACCAACTGACTATCCCATCCTGCACCCAACCAACCACCCCATCACCCAACCAATGACCTCTTCACTCAACCAACCACCCCATCACCCAACCAATGACCTCTTCACCCAACCAATGACCTCTTCACCCAATCAACCTCCCCATCACCCAACCAATGACCTCTTCACCCAACCAACTTCCCCATCACCCAACCAACCACCCCATCACCCAATCAATGACCTCTTCACCTAACCAACCGCCCCATCACCCAACCAACCTCCCCACCACCCAACCAACCACCCCATCATCCAACCACCTACCCCACCACCCAACCAATGACCCCTTCACCCAACCAACCAACCAAGACATCATCCAACCAACCACCCCACCACCCAATCAATGACCTCTTCACCCACCCAACCACTCCATGATACAACCAATCTCCCAATCACCCAACCAACCACCCCACCACCCAACCAACCTCCTCATTACCCAACTAACCTCCCCATCACCCAACCAACGACCTCTTCACCCAACCAACCTCCCCACCACCCCACCAACCACCCCTTCACTCAACCAACCACCCCACCAATGACCCCTTCACCCAACCACCATCCAACCAATGACTCCTTCACCCAACCAATGACCCCATCACCTAACCAACCACCCAATGACCCCTTCACCCAACCACCCACTCCCTCACCCACCCAACCACCCCATCACCCAACTGCTGAAC